GGAATAAGTTTGGAATTCCAGGATCCTTCTTTAATCGCGATCGCCATTCTGGATTTTTCTTTCCCTCTTTACGAGCCTTCTTTTGTTTTGCGACTGATGCTTTCTCGATCTTGTGACGAAGACGCACTGGAACACGTTTACTCTTTGGCTCTGAATTGTAAATCAATTAGTTATTAAATCCTTTGAAAAATGATAACAGGTATCATTCACTTACTTCCGACTTTAGGCATCTTGAGTACTGTTGTGCAATTCTCAAAAAGATGCTGTTGTTGATCTCAACTGTAGTATTTTCGATAATGGAATTTTTCGATTTTCCAAATCCTTATCGCACTAAAATTATTTTCTAATCCATCAACGCTAAGCCATTTTCTCTCTAGTTTCATCTCACTAATCCCAATCACGCAGCTCCGACAACATCGTCACATGATTCCGCCCGCTTCAATGGAGATGAGCACACTCCCTTATTAGACGCTTCTACTTATTGCTTGTGCTCCCCGCCCACGTCAACTTCCTTCATATTGAGTCAGAATCAAACATCATTACTTTCCTTCATTCCTTATTCTCTATTTAATCTTGCCACTCCCCAAGAAACTTTCCAAAAAATTCACTCAACGATTTAACAATCACGAGGTCTGAATCTATCAACAAAAAAAGTTTTGTTGCATATCTCATTTGAGGAGGAGAATTGCAAAGTTTTAGTCGGATTTAGACGGGTCAAAGGGTCTCTCTCGCCAATTTCACATATCTCAACATCCACCCCACCAATTTACTTACGGTTACTTGTGTTTTGATCCTTGCGATCTTCTCTTTATATTCGATTCAATTATTTTTGTAAAAGGAGAAATCATGGGTTCTATTCCGAGAGAGTTTTCTGCTCCTCCTCAAAAAGTGGTCTTTAAGGGGCTACTTTTTGATATGGATGGTACTATTATTGATAGTACCGATGCTATCGTTAAACATTGGCATCAGTAAGATTCTCCTTTCCAATAATGATAATGAGAGATTTTGAATAACAAAATTGCCAGGTTAGGTAACGAAATAGGAGTAGATCCTAATGTGATTTTACAGACAAGTCATGGAAGGAGAAGTATTGATGTCTTGAAGATTATTGCTCCAGAGAAAGCAAATTGGGATTGTAAGCTCTGTTTATTACCATCTGCTAGTCTTCTCCTTTCAATTATATATCTATTGCTCTCACCATTTTTATCTACCCTTAAATCGGCAAGAAGTCTTTTGCTTGGTTTATTCTCATACTACCTACTAGCGAGGCCTCGAGGGAATGCTTCAAAAACCAAGTTGGTTCTTGAGTCTTATTCTATCCGAAGGCATGACAGGGTTAGAAAGGAATAATCGATTCTCAACCCGAATGGAATTCGTATTCCAGCTAGATCACAAATCGTGTTTATATATATTGGGCGGTCAACCGTTATGCGACTCTTCCCATGCAGAACATATCTATTCAATCCCACGGCGGCATCTCGCTATAGTCCTACTTCTTCAACCTCATGTACCACCTAATCCATTAATCTATTCCACCACCCATTCCCCAATTTCCAAACCCCCACGACCTAACACTCCACTCAGACATAAAACACATGGAAGGACTCCTCCCAAAAAACTACGGTGACGACGCCGTCGAAATCCCCGGCGCCCGCTCCCTCCTCTCCTCTCTAACCAGCGCTTCCCACCCCTGGGCCATCGTAACATCCGGCACTTCCCCCCTCGTAACCGGCTGGCTCAACGTCCTCAAACTTCCCATCCCAGAGCATCTCGTCGTCGCTGAAGATGTTCCAAATGGAAAGCCTGATCCAGGTTTGTATCCCTCCCCAATCCTCTCTTCGAACCCCATCCCCCAAGAACACACTAACACCCCCCACCCAGCCTGCTACAACATGGGCAAAGCCAAACTCAACCTCTCCTCCGCCCCCGACGGCTCCCTCCTTGTCCTTGAAGACAGTCCCGCTGGTATCCGCGCCGGCAAAGCAGCCGGATGCAAAGTACTAGCCGTAGTAACCACACACACCATTGAACAAGTTGTCGAAGCCGGCGCCGACTGGGTTGTCAAAGATTTGGAAAGTTTGAAAGTTGTAGGAAAAACAGACGAGGGTGTTGAGTTGGAGATTTCGAATGCTTTGGTTTAGATTTGTGAGGATAGGAAGAGAATGAATATTAAGCGTGCATATAAATAGATAGATAGATAGACACTCAATCGTTCGAGAGTCAGTCGCAAGAATATATAGACTACAAAGATAAATTTGGGAGACTCGAATAAAACACTTCATCAGCGCTTTTTAATTCAAGTCCATGAATCTCTCCTGCTTCCATTTGAACAATCCTCACTCCCCCAACCTGCCACTCACGACCCCTAAATATCCCTTCCATACCACCCATCTCCCTTCCTATACACCATCAAACTCAATAAACAATCCAGATATTCAGATCCTCAACCTCCAGCTAACAACCCTAATCACCTCTCGAACAATTTCTCACATCCAATCCCCCTATCCTATCCCATCTTATCTTATCTTATCCCGCTCCACCCTAAAATCTTCTACAGAATCCGAAACCTAAAATATCATAAAGCATACTACAAATCCCCTTCCTCATTACACCCGATTTTCTTATTCCACTCTCCCTTCTACTTCACAATTTCTCAATAACTCTTTCATACCACCTTTTCCCTTCTCTATGCAAATCAATAAAATATTGATATTTACATTTCTAATCTAGTTTCTCTTCTATCTCCAAATTATATCTCCAAATTATATCTCCCATATCCCAAAATCACATTTCAGATCCAGCTTCAATCCTACTCTATCCTATCCTACCTCATATAATCCCACAATTTCATGTTATCTGAGAATCTCTTATCATAATATAATATACTATACACATTATCTCATTCATCTCATCCATCTCATCCATCCATTCACCCATCCCATCCCATCCCCTTATCACAACCTCATAGTCTCACCCCATCCCCTCATCCTCATCACTGCATCTCATCAATCACAATTCACAATCTCATCCCACCCCATGCCCTATCACCTCAAAATTTCATCCTCATTCCATCTCCATCATTCCATCATCCATCTCCCACCCCCCCAACCTCACCCATAACCCATAACCTCCAACAACTCCTCACCATCATCCTCCCTTTCTCTCTCTTCCCAATTCCAAGCAAAAAGAAATAAGTACAAAGACACCGGAAGTTTCAACTCTCGTATCCTCTTACCGATCACCTATCTATTTAACATCAATACTACCATCATCATCATCATCATCATCATCATCATTCAAGAATCTCTTTGTTTCAATCCCTCTCAATATCCCCTCTCAATACCCATCTCCTCTCAATACCTCTCCATCCCCTCTCATCCCATCCCATCCCACTCCCCAAAAATCTACCAACTCTCAACCATCCCTCCCGAATCGCCAAAAAAAAATTGTTCAAAATTCCAAGCGATCAATATACATTTATGAATCAAATTAATTAATCTCGATCGTATGATTATGATTATGATTATGGTCAATACCAAACACCAATACCATCACCTCACCCCTCCCCTCCCCTCCCCGTACCAGCCAGCACCAAATACAGAATCTCCTCACTCACAGCATCACAACATCACATACACCAAAAATACAAATCACAAATACACAAAAACCACACACAAAACACATCCAAACATCAACAGAATTATTACTAATATTTCCATATTCCACTTTCCCAGAGTATGTAAGGCCATTCCACATCTCTATTTCCCTTTCCATCCGTATCCATGCATATATATTCCCATATCCCATTTCAGCCCATTACATTTCATTCCCCCGTGTACCACTTCCTGATTTACACCTCTCAGATACCATTCCTCATGCATTATATCACCTCACCCCACGAATGAACATTCACATTCAACTCAGTATCCCCTTCGATCATCATCAACATCAATCGTCATCACGCAACACACAAAAACCACACCACCACCATCCATCCATCCATCCACCCATCCATAATGCAACGACACGCACCACACAAGCAATTGGAATCCTCAACTGAAGATAAAGAACACAACACAGAACAGATGACAAATAGTCAGGACTCAATAAATATGTCCTTGATTAAAAAATGAAATGTTTACAAATCTCAAAAAGCCAAACAGACAGAGGTATTCCCTTCCAACTCCATCCCCCAATCCCACCCACACAATCATCCATTCGACCCTTACGTCCAATATGTGCTTCCATAACGGGTATAGCACAGTTAAATCAATCCCTATCCATCATATGCCAAAGCCTTGCACGCAATGCAAAAGTGTATATCCTAACCAGCCATAATACCCCATGCTCTTGAAATCGGCAAGAAGTAAACAAACAAATCCATCGATGCTTGCCCTTGCTTGGAAAAAAAAAATCAACGAAGCTAACCCTTAGCTCATATGCATTTCGTTGCCACCAAAGAATCCTCACACATTGAAAGTTGTGAGGTAAAAGAGAACAAGGAACAGACAAGGGTAGTTAACGCAACAATGAGAACGAAGTTGCCAAGGTACCTTTCATCTTCAAAGAAAAGGCACCCGGGAAGAAATTAAGTGCTGTGATGTTAAAAACAGATGAGGAAAAATACATCGAGAAAGAGAAGCAAAAGGAAAAGAAAAGATCAGGTATAAAATTGTAAAAGTTATTGAATGAACAAGCAATAAAAAGTAAGAGCCTTAAAAGATGAAACATGCCATAGCCATGCAGAAAGACAGCCCATTTGGATGCTTGACATTTTATAATGCTTTAGCATGGGAGAACCGGAACAGAACATTGCTGTGTTGTTATGTAACCCCTTTCCACCGTCGCTGAAGAATATTCGATGTAAGATATGTTGGAGGATGGACAGATCGAAATCGAGAAGTAGCATACGCGGTCATACTGATCTCGAGATGTGTATCATATCTTCCTTCGTTTCATTCCCGTTTTCTGGGCTACATCTTGCAATGTGATGCCATCATCTAACGTTGACTATGCAATATCGTCTTGTATCTCCATCTATTGCGTTGACCTGTCCAAACCCAGCCAGCACTAGTTCCAGTAGGTTGTTGTGGAGCCCAGCCTTGAGAGCTAGGCTGGGGGCCGGAGGTTGTAGGTTGCATAAATTGATGATTGCTTGACTCAGGTTGATAAATATTTCGATTTGGCGCTGCATAATTTTGCCCCATCCCTTGCATACCAGAATATTGTAATGCGGGTTGCATTTGAGGATTGCTTCCTGATTGTCGAAGTGGTGGAGGGGGAGGTTGATGAGGAGATTGTTGTATATGTGGCGATTGCTGACTAGGATGGGATGGGTAGCTTGGGTTGAACGCATGTTGCTGTGGGGACTGCTGCTGTGGTTGACTTGATGGCCACATCTGATTCTGAGACGTGAATTGATAAGAATTCGTCCCTTGATTCATATTGCTCGCAGACGCAATTGGTATGCTGGGAGATCGTCCTGCTGCTTGCTCCTGTCTTGATGGTGCACTTCTGATCGGAGGCTGTGAAACAATACCAGGTTGATGAGAAGCTTGCGAGTAAGAAAGATTCTGTGGGTTCTGATGTGCCAAGATTGGTTGCTGCGCAATACTTTGTGATGCTCGTGGCGAGCGCAAAGTTTGTGCAGATGGAAGACCGTCATGATTACCCGTAGCTTGCACAATGTTACCTCCAGAGACCTCATGAGGTTGTCTCCATCTTCGTTCCAGATAGTCGTGACTACGACTTCGTTGCTGATTGATCTGCTTACTATATTCAGCTGCTTGATTTACATGATTTGATAGATCGGCATGTGAACTAGGTTGAGTCCTGTCTTGGTACGCGGTCCCGGCTAGTTCTTGTCTTGGACGTTGAATGCTGCTGTAGTCTCTCAAACGCATATCAGTTTGTTCTGGCGCAAGAGTGGTTATCATGGGGAGTGGGTTAGTGGCACTAGGAATACCCATCATAGCAGATGGAACCGCTGCTTGCGGGTACCCATAATGTCCCGGGCCATTGCTATAAATATCGCCATGGTGGTGACTTGCAGCAAGAGCAGCGGAGGCTTCGGCAGCAGCGGCGGCATCTCGGGCTTTTGCTGCACCCGGTCTTTTTTCCCCAGCAAGATCATCTTCAGTGAACCCTTGCTTACGTGCTTTCGTTTCCCAATAATCATCTCTAACCCGACGCCCATTAACGATAACCCTGCTACCAAATTGCCGGAACATGGATTTTGCAGTAACGATCGCTATTTGGCGAGAGCGGTAAGAGAAAGGTAAGATTTCTTGATGGATTAAATCTTCCTTCTCTGCTTGGGTGGCGATGATCTTGTAGAGAGATCTATTCTTGTTAAACAGTAGATATGAGTCCGGTTATCCTAGTACTCTGGCACACTCTGTTGCCAACATGAATAGTTTATCTCCTCGATTTGGTACATAGAATGTTCGACACCTGTATTCGCGTCCATCTGTCAAATGGCCCATAGCTGAGACCTTCTTCTCACCCTGCTCATCATATTCTCGTGGAATATACTCATCTCCCTCTGCACCCAACTGGTCGGTGGTATGATCCCTCACAGTTGGTAAAGCTTTGATAACTGGCTTGGGAGTTTGTTTAGGAACGGGCGTTTGAGCCAAGTTTGAGCCCGGTGTACGGTTATGAGGTAAGACCGCATGCTGCGACTGAGGAGTCTGCGGCTGGCCACTTTGGCTTGAGGTTGAAGTTGAATGTGGCATTTGGCTTTGTTTGGAATTTTCTGAGGTATTGACGGCCGACTTCAACTTCATCGGTCTTCCTCTCTTTCGGGCTTTGAGTCACCTAGAACAAGATACGAGTGTCAGCAATATTTCTTGAAAGGGTAAAGTAAGTGCGCATGTAACATATGTGAGGGCAAGTGCGATAAAGCGAAACCCGAATATTGAGGAGTGATACATACCGTCATCTATGTGATTATCCACCTGTGGTATTTCATTATATGTATCCGGAGAGCGACTTCTTTTAACTCCTCGAGGAATTTCATTTGGTGAAATTGCTTGGACGGGGTTGAGAGCTCCTATCGCATGGCAAGATTCAGTCAGTCAAACGTTCGTAGCTTCTCAAGATAAGAACATATAAGTATACTAGGTAGATATATTCATATAGGAAAGGAAAGGGAACTGAAGCTTCAAAAGATGTTTCCAGTCCCATCAGCATTTTCTAATAGAGATGATAGTTACCTTGATTCAGAGCTTGAGGATTAATAGTTGTGGGATGGAATGGAGCTTCAATACCACCCCCTCCAAGTCCATTTGTCACGGCCGAGTACATGACGAAATGCGCAACGGAACGGAACGCAACGCAACGCAACGAACGGGTCGATCAAAAGAAAAGTACCAAGGAATAAAAAATTCCAAAATACTTTTTAAGGTCAGTATTGGGCGATGAGATATATGATATTCAACCTGACCCCAACTCCTAACACTGTTCACGTTCGGCGCGCGTTTGCGCTATCGTCGCAAAAAAAAAAAAAAAAAAAAAAAAGATGTAGGAGGAGGTTTGAATGCACGCTCCAAGATTGATGACTGCGGCGTAGAAGCCGTTCAGCTGCATTAACGAAGCGATTTGTTCTGCACCATGCATGCGGGCGACTGAAGAATCCTGTAGCTGGAGTTTTTGGTTGTTTAAGGGATTTTAATTAAGTCGCAGTGTCGTAATGGTAGTGCAGCGGAAGGTGGTGTGAATAGTGGTATAGTAGTGGATAATGTGGATAGATATATGTAGGGTGAAGGGTTGCTGATACCAGGCCGAGCGGATAAGGGAAAAGGACCCTTGAACGAAGGGCCAAAATACAGATGTCGATTAACTGGATCCCCGGAAAATGAACGATGTATATGTGGGTATGTGGGTATGTGTGTGTATGTATGTGTATGTATGTGAAGGATCAAGGTCACAATGAAAACAATTCCCAGTTCATATAAATATAAATGTATAATTTGGGGTCTTTCCTCTCTTTTGTGCTTGCGAGTAATTATTGAAGAGTATTTGGTCTGAAGGTACTAGTTGTATATGAAATTTCGATATTTCCTTTGTTGAGTGGTGGCTGGTGACTGGTGACTGGTGATTGGTGATTGGTGATTGGTGGTTGGTGGTTGGTGGTTCGTAAAGAGGAAGTGGAAGTGGAAGAGGAAGAGGAAGAGGGAGAGGAACAGAATAAAGAACAGTCTTAGGTATGCATATATCTAGCCATGTCCTTGGGGCAAAAATCCAGTAGTCTTCCTTGATACTTCTTGTCAAAGTAGATTAGTATCATAGACCGGAATGGGTACTAGAATATAGATGATTAGATCGAAATGATTTTCCGATACAACCGAATAGGATATAAGATCAATGGCGCGACGGCTACTTTACACTTTTTCAGGTACAGTCTTATATTTATGTCCCTATGGCTTTTCTTAGTCGACTCGGTCTCGGTAGTTATATGGTATTCGTGGGCCTTTGTCGCTGTTCGTACGAGGGTCTTGGGGATTTTTCTTGGGGTCTTGTCGATGAGAAATGAGATCAGGTAAGCATGTCATGGATCAACAGATGGTCTTTTATTCGCAACGAACTCGTGGGAAAGATGCCGTGTATGGAGTAGTGGTGGGTGGGAGATAGAAAAAAATTATGGTCAATGTGTAGGTAGGTATGTACAGAGTAGTATGCACTATGGTATGTCCTCCAAAGCTAGGTAAGGTAAAGTAAGGTAATGTCCATTGGGGGGAATTATGAGAGGGAAGTCGAAGCTTGAATATTTGCTATACTAACATAACAATAATAATAATAATAATAATAACAATAATAACATGGGTAAAGAGGGTAAAAAGAGTAAAAAGAGACAGAAATCCTCCCCTCGAATACAATAGTGAAGAAGAGCTAATTAGTCAACTACTACCTAGGTAGGTAATGAAACTAATGATGATAGAATGGCCGAAGCCGAATAAAGATTGATTAATTCAACTCACTATTTACCTAGACAGGTATAGATGAAGGGGTTCAATAGATTTCGAAGCGAGTCCGTCTTCCTGTTCGCCTTTGCTTTACTAGGTCCCGTCGTAGTCTCTCTCTTCTTTTCCAATACAATAATAAGGCATGGGAATGACAATAATGAAGAGAGGATACCCACCAGTAGGTAAAAATTCGGAGTTAGCAAATACTCGAAATGATAGGTGGAAGAGGAGTTAACACTAAGAATCAAAGCCGAGTTAGTCCCGCACAAGTATCTAGACAGACACTCTAGAGGGAAAGAACTCAACCAGAAATCCAGAAAGCTAGACAAGAAGGCTTCTCTTTTCTCTTTCCGCTATGTCGTTATCAAACATGGGCCTGACTGCGGAAACGATAACCCTGGTAACTATTGCGACAAATACCACTCAAGGACTTGCTGCGCCAGACGCAAGGACGAGGTACGGTACGGGTAAAATGTATCTTTTGAAGCTGGGCGTTCCAAGGTATTTTTCCGCCCTGACGTTGTGATTGGAAGATCCAGCTGACGAGGGACAAGTTGATTTCGGGACCGCCAATTAAATCGAAGAGTTAACTTCCTTTCAATTGTCCGAAATGAGAAGTAAATAATTTACATTACAGGATTACTAGAAAACCCTAGGTAAACGGAGGAGAGGATTCTATCTGATTCGAAAGTGCTTGATTCTGAAGCTTGAGATATCCGTTTTTTATTCTGTTTTGTGGTTCAAGTCATCCTCTTACAGGTGAATAGTTTGTTGCTTTCCTAAGTGTCCTTGTTTTGATTGATATTGGTAGGTATTCGCGATTGACAAGGCAAAAGCCCAATGGATCTTAATAAGAAAGCTTCGAGGTTGAAGGGGTCCCAAGGTCGTATTTTTCATGTACTGTATCTTGATCCTGGTCATGTAATGTTGCTTTGCACGATTTCATCTGCGTCTTTGGTAACTTTTGGTACTTCTTCTCGTGCTTCTCGTGACAAACCTCTGAAAGACAGATACTGAAGATCTAAGTGGACTTTTTATCGATTGGTACTTGACAGTTTGACTGTCTTTTTTGCTATTTCATTGGACATGAGCTAATCTATTACCAAAGTATCCGATCTTCACAAAGATACTGTACGGTACTGCACTGTGTCTATTTGTACTTTTATGTATCTATCTTCTGGCATAAATTACGTAGGATCTGTTCGCTTGATTGTGATCAACCAGGGTATTGAGAGGATGCAAGTTGATAGGATCCTCCCTTCAAGCGAACGGGTATGACGGACAGCTCCCCACGAGCTTGATTGCTTGCATATGGATTGTTGAAGAATATGCAAGTGATATGCTTTGAGGAATGAGGAATGGAAAAGATCGCTTGTGAAGTTTGTGGAATGGAAGTACTTGAAGCAAGACTTTTTTGAAAGCAAGCTGACGGCCGACCCACGTTACGGGATATTAAGGACTAAAGGGCTTTTGGAAGGATTAAGAGAGATCATAAAATTATGAGAACTGTAGAGGTCAGAGATCCAAGTAGTTATGTAGTATTGAAAGTAATAAGCGCCGCTTTGCCTTAGTTTCTATGCCACTTTTTGATCGGGTCAACCTTGGAAGGTTTCCTACTCATCTCATTCACCAACTGTTTCTTCGGAAAGGTAGGTCAGCCGTTAACACCTTCTCGGTTGTATCTGCAGATGAGTATCGGAGATGAATAACCTGGAAGCTCTTTATCTCTATCTTGCTAAAAGAATAGAAATGATTTTTAGTATGTGCTCGATTTTTTTGTCACGCGATACATTAAAAAGAATCGCGTATAAAACTCTACATTCTATGTTGATAAATGATCTGAACATTACATTCTCTTCGATATCCCAAATTGGAACATCAATGCTTTGTGTGGCTTAGACATCGTTTGATAGTCGTTCACCTTGTAAACACGCGTGGGAGCCTAAGTACATACACACAGTACACCCAGTACCATACAGTACATGCAGTGTAGGAATTTTCCTTTGATCTTCGGATACAACCTCAACCTCCAAAGTTCTAGATTATGCCGCGTCTCGACGGCTACCAATCGTATTTCGGCCGCTGGGCTTGAAAAGTTTTGGTTCACTGGCACATATGTTTTATGGAAGAAGCGATAAGATGTCCTCAAATTGTACAATCAATGACGATGTTATATTATTACTGTCCAGATTCTATTTTCTTGATATCTACGACCATTTTTGCAAAGAATTGCAGTAGCCAGGCTTACAAACCCAAAGATGTCAAGGATTCCCGCTTTTTCTTCAAGGATTGTGATTGCACATGAATGAGATCAGCCTGCAGTACCCCGGTACAATTATCACGATGTTAGTGGATCTCCAAATGTTGGTAATTGCCTAATGGGGTACTATCTGCAGCTCCAAACCTTTGAACGTGCCTCTCGCCCAATTTGGAGGAAACGACCGTCGTGTCAACGAGTTAGCCCAAACTTTCTATTCTTTCAAGGATGGAGAACTCTAGCAAGTGTCAAGCAATCTCTTTGCATGCTTTCCGGCTGATTTGACACGTTATCACGATGTATCCGGGCTTGAATATCACAACTTTGAAGCAAGCATGTAGCAGATTCATGTCCGACGCAGAGTGTACGGAGGTACATATGAGGGGCCCCTTGACAGTGCAGAGGAATCGAAACAAGATTCCTAAAATGTCTCTACAACCATTAGAATGCAGTTTCGTACCAAGTATCAATGTACCGAACAAACTCATATCATTACAACAAGGTTGCTGGGCTGCTCAGCTACTGAGGTATTGACAGATATGTAATACATTTTGAGAGACCTTAACAACAGATGTTGAAGAACCATAGTTGAATTTAATTGGGATACTTGATATTCGTCCAAAGAATTAGAATGTTTTAATGTCAAAACTTCAGATGGATTCTAGCTCGAGAATATTGATGAGATTCACACCGCATTGGTCAGCAGGATTTGCAGACATGATGTCGACAATATTTCCAAAGCCCCCAATTGGCCAAGGTCTGAATGTGGGCTAATATTGATGAATTCGTAATTCTGTTGAATCACAATCGCGAAAGGCAGTGTGGAACCCCTGTTCTTCTCAAGACATACAAGATACGTTACGGCGCGGCGTCTTCGGAAACTAAATTCTCCATATATTTTGGTCAGGGGAGGTTTCGGCACCTTTCTACAAGGGGAGATCTCGGGGCCGTGTCTGCCCTATTGAGACCGGCTCAGGTCCAAGTTGTTTTCATCCTTGTTCTATCCTTATCACTGCCTGGCCTTCAATAATCAATTTACATGCTTCTCGTACTACGCCGTGGAGATCACCAGAAGATATGACTAACTGGATGTTCAGGGCGTGATTAGTATGTGAGCAAGGTCTACGAGAGACTACGACCTTCCGTATCCCATCGTGGCTGAAAAGTATTACTGCCTTTGTGTGGACAGCGCCTATCATCTCTCGAAGAATATCCTCCAAGCCTGACCTTGTTTCTGTATCGATATCATCGATATTAAATCGGTAGTAGAAATGACTCTTTGCTACATCTACCGCGCTAGACACTGTCAAAATTGTAGCATCGCTTCGCACTCTACGAGGCACATTACACAAACATATTTCTGAGAGATACGATTGGTCAAAATGCAAGTGTATAGCCAAAAATTGCGGTTACAGATGACTCGAGTAGTGATGGATCCACTTTTACCTAGAACGCGGCAGATCTACCCAGTTTCCCTCTTTTGTATCCTTTGCCAATGATATATTTACGATTCATGATTAACACGGGCAGAGCCGCGCTTGCATATTCTCTATATTCTGAATGTGTACGAGGAATGGTCATAGGATCATTTTAACCTGGTCCACTCAAGCTAAGACATTTTTTTAGCGGACCTTTCTGTGCTCCTCGCCCTAATTCTAAGCCACTAGCAAGTCTTCTTCCCCGGTCGACATCTGATTCTTCGGGGGGCAATGAGATGTCAAGAATTAAACAGTCAGTGTATGCTAAGTGCCATGAGAATGATTTCTTTGGTTGGACTTAGCATGCACAACATCAGGCTGTGCGTGGAGGCTTACGGGCGCATCCCTCCCGATTTTTCATCCTGGATTACCCGTCGAGCCCACTACTGTAAGCAAAGAGATGTGTCTGAGCTTCTCCCGCAATTCGATTCGACTGTGGGTGACTTTGGTGGTTTAAGTTTCTACGGAGTTTATAGTGGTGGGTGTGGAAGAGCACCTGCACAAGATTTCTGCAGCCAACCACCTTCATGATGTCAGTTCGCTAGGATTGTATTTGCGATATTGAGTTTGGATGGACCCTTTTTAAATTTCTTAGTTTTTTAAGCCCAAGGCCCCATGAAATATATTAATTCAAACCTTCCATTTCATGCTTCGGCGGAAGCTTAAAACTTTTGAGACATATCCTTATCATGATGCATATTTGCTGCATTCCTTCGCCAATCTCTAGAGCTTTCCAAACTGGTTTCTTGCCCACTTCGGATCTATTTCGCATGAAGATGGGCTGGAAGAAACTCTAAACAGCAGACAAGCTTAAAAGTAAGACAAAGTCTCAAATTCCAGTTCATCAAAGTGACTCATTACAAATCGGAACGTTCTTTTGCCACGAGATACCTGCTTCCAGGATATCGGAAGTCAAGTGACACATATAGTCTGGCTGCTCGCTTGCCCGGCAATTCGTACATTCCTAGGTGGGGAGGTATCCTCTACAGGTGAACATCACGTGTACGAGATTGCAGATGAAACGGTCATTGTGCATTATCGGGAGCGATTTCTCTGTGTTTCTTGTTGTGTATCTTTCGAGGGGTGTAGCTCAAACTTCGAAAATGGAATGTGTGCACGACATTTGGAAGGGAGGGGTATGAGCATTGGATTTAGATCACTTGAACCCTCAAAAGGATTTGCTTGGATGTGAATGTACCGGTGATGTTATATTTTGAGGTTATGATCTCGCGAAATTCGTTGTGGTTATGTCTATTGCACTGGATGTGCTCTGAAGATCAAGAAAGAAACCCGTTGAATACAATATGACATTGTTTTTGTGTAAAGAAGCTGCACTAGATGGACGATAAGCTCTTATCACTCATACCTAGTGTCCGATAAGAACTATCGTAGCCGCACACAAGCGCATATCGCGTCTAAATTTCCTCAATTTGCACACAAGCTGTCGCAAGCTGTTGGACAACCATTCCAAAACAATCCTATCATTCAGCCATTATGACGAGTCTCAAACGATCTATGGGATCGGATCCCTACTCCTCCAATATATCGAGTAAAGTCTATGTACGATCTACCAAAAGTGGCAAAGTTCAGAAGATTGTTCGTGAATTATATCTTCGACAAGACATTCCCTGCTCATCCAAACTTTGCGACAGCTGCCTCAAGACTGCGCCACCAGATGCGAGTGGTGTTGGTAAGTTTGATCTCGATAATGTATATGATACATTCGCATGATAGAAGACTTACTTTGATGCAGTACCACCATTCGTTCTATCGGAAACCCCTGCGGGAACAGCAGCATACCCTCAGGGACATTACCTGGTACCCGATACCAATGCGTTACTGAACGCCCTCGATCTTTTTGAACAGGCATCGGCCTTCTACGATGTCATCATCTTACAGACTGTCCTTGAAGAATTACGAAATAGATCACTGCCGCTTTACAATCGGTTGATTGGGCTTACAAAGAGCGAGGATAAACGATTTCACGTTTTCTTTAATGATTTTCGTCTGGAGACTTATGTGGTTCGGGAGACTGGAGAAAGTATAAATGATAGAAATGATAGAGCGGTTCGACGCGCGGTCAAATGGTACGATGAACATATTACACAAGCAGTAAAAGCTTCGGGAGGACGTTCGAAAAAGATACCTGCTGTTGTAATGCTCAGTGATGATAAGGAGAATCTCAGAAAAGCAAAGCGTGATGGTATTCAAGCATGCTCCCTTCGGGAATATGTTAGTGGATTGGAGGATGCAGATCGATTACTGGATATGATCAGTGCAGCACAAGAAGACAAAGAAGCCCGAGATGCTAGAACTTCTGGAAACCTATACCAGGAATATTATTCAGTATCGAAAATGATGACTGGTGTTAAGAACGGCACGTTACATCAGGGTATTTTTAATGTTTCGCCATACAACTATTTGGAGGGGTCTGTGAATGTCCCCGCTTTCGACAAATCATTACTTGTTCTTGGCAGAGAGAATATAAATAGATCTGTTCAGGGTGATGTTGTTGTTATCGAAGTATTACCAAAAGACCAATGGAAAGAGCCTTCTACAAAAATTATCGAGGAAGAAACCTTAAACAAGGATGAAAACGCCGATGCTGATGAGGGAGAAGCTGTTGTCACCGAGAAGGAGAGACGTGCGCTGCAGGAAGAAGTAAAGAAGACCCATAGCAAGGGTACTGAGAATCGTCCTCAGCCAACTGCTAGAGTAGTTGGTGTCGTAAAGCGTAATTGGAGACAATATGTCGGTCATGTGGACGAATCATCTGTTAGTCAGTCGGTAAAACAAGGTCGCAAGCAACAAACTGTTTTCCTCATCCCCATGGACAAGAGGATACCGAAAATTCGTGTTAGAACGCGACAAGCGGGTGAGATATTAGGAAAGCGGGTTTTAGTCACCATCGACTCGTGGGATAGAGATTCGAGATATCCGGTTGGTCATTTTGTTCGTTCTCTCGGCGAACTGGAAACAAAAGGTGCCGAGACAGAGGCTTTACTTTTAGAATACGACGTACAATATAGACCATTCCCGAAAACAGTCTTAGACTGTTTACCTGCTGAGGGTCATGATTGGATTGTACCTCCAAGTATGGATGATCCTGGATGGAAAAACAGACGCGACCTTCGAGGTCTTAACATTTGCAGTATTGATCCAATAGGTTGTCAGGATATTGATGACGCATTGCATGCGAGACCTTTGCCCAATGGCAATTACGAAGTGGGTGTGCATATTGCAGATGTCTCACATTTCGTCAAGCCAAACAATGCAATGGATGCAGAAGCGAGTATACGAGGGACCACCGTTTATTTAGTGGATAAGCGAATTGACATGTTACCGATGTTACTTGGGACGGATTTGTGTTCCCTTAAGCCATATGTCGAGAGATATGCATTCTCTTGTTTGTGGGAAATTACACCGGATGCCGAGATTGTTAATTCAGAGTACACAAAATCTGTCATTAAATCGCGAGAAGCATTCAGTTACGAAGATGCTCAAAAGCGTGTTGATGATGCGTCGGCTCAAGATGAACTTACTACCAACATTCGTACTCTTCTTATGTTGTCTAAGAAATTCAAGCAAAAGCGTATGGATGCTGGAGCTTTGAGTCTCTCGTCACCAGAAGTTAAAGTGGAGATGGAATCTGAGACTTCGGATCCAATAGATATCAAACAGAAAAAGCATCTTGACACTATGTCATTGGTAGAGGAATTCATGCTTCTCGCCAACACTAGTGTAGCTGCGAAAATTTATTCTGCCTTCCCTCAAACAGCTATGCTTCGTCGTCACGCCGCTCCTCCAAAGACAAACTTTGAAGAACTTGCCAATCAACTCAAGGTCAAGCGTGGCCTTGAACTTAAGGTCGGCTCGTCAAGAGAACTTGCCGATACCCTCGATGGATGCGTTGACCCCGTCGAACCTTTCTTCAATACCCTCGTCCGTATTATGGCAACTCGTTGCATGATGTCTGCAGAATATTTCTGTTCAGGCACACAAGCATACCCTGAGTTCCGCCATTATGGTCTTGCATCTGAGATCTATACTCATTTTACATCTCCCATTCGTCGTTATGCAGATCTTGTCGCTCATCGTCAACTGGCTGCGGCAATCGATTATGAGCCTCTTGCTGCTAGTGTCCGCAGCAAGGGAAAACTCGAAGGTGTTTGCAAGAACATCAACGTTCGTCATCGTAATGCTCAACAAGCTGGTCGTGCTTCCATCGAATACTATGTTGGACAAGCACTCAAGGGTCGTATCGTCGAGGAAGAAGGTTTCATTATGAAGGTTTTCAGTAATGGATTTGTGGTCTTCGTACCGAGATTTGGTATCGAGTCACTTATTCGTCTGAGAGATTTGGCGGAACCAGAACCAGAGGGTGATTTTGATGCGGAGAATTACGTTTTGCAAACGAAGGGAAGTAGAGAGGTTAGAATAGAATTGTTTGGGAAGGTGACGGTGAGGATTAGTGATGTTAAGGAGGAGAGTACGGGGAAGAGAAAGATTAAGGCGGAGTTGGTGGAGGTGATTGAGGGGAAGAAATAAATCTGAATAGATGGAGAGATTTGGGGGGTCATTGGATGAAGGGGGGTATGGAAATGAATTGAGAGGACTGGTATACTAGGGTTAGATACGTGTATGATTGAGTAGAGATATCAATTTGAAGAAATTTTTTACGCTGAGGATTTGGAGAACTGTGTGTTGTTGATGATGGGAATGGAATCATGGTAGCTGTGTCATGTTCTCTGTTGCTAGGTATCGAACTATCAGGATTCAACCGATACTCAACATGTCTTTCATTGAACTTGTATAATTCATCCTCATTATCACTGTTCTCATATAATCACTATTCTCATACATCAAAATTTGATTCGGGTTGCGATATCTACTAGGTGGTAGATCGGGATTGCACCAATAGATTCCCAAGTCGAGTTTTGGCAGTGTCCTGTCCTGTTAGTTCGTATGCCCACTCACGAGTGCGCGAAATTCGAATCGATTGGATGGATTTATGGTGGAGTCACTTCGGGGAAAGTGTTATTGGAAGATTATATCTGTGTGGATGGTGGATGTGGAATTTTTGTATGGATAGGTAGGTGGATAGGTGGATAGGTGGATAAGGTGTTTGGAGATTGGAGATTGGATGACGGGTAGGGAGGGGGTGAAGTTTGGGGGTGTGGATTTGGAGTGGGTGGTAGGGGGTTTGTGAGGGGGATGTGAGGGGGCTTGTGTGTATATGTGTGATAGTTGAGTATTTTTTGTGACTTTGGAGGGAGTTGGGAGGGAGTTGGGAGGGAGTTGGGGTGGTGGGTTTCTGGTTGTGGGGGTGTGGGGGTGTGGATGTGAGTAAAATGGGTTTGATAGGGGTAAATGGGGTAGATGGGGTAGATGGGGCGGATCTTGAGGGATAGGAGGCTGTGGGCTTTGTGTTTATGGGAAGTTGGTGAGTGAGTTATAGTTTGAGTTGTTTTTGGGTATAGCATTAGTGCTGGGTAGTGCAGTAGTTTTGCGAAACTGGGTGAGACGTGAGCAAGCTATTGGGGGAGTTCCAGGTCGTTGAAGTCTGCAATCTACTAAGAAACTTTGACCAATTTTTTTAGAACTCGTGGCTACGCTGCTATCAGTGTAAGCTGCGTGACCTCGGCAGCGAATCAACCACCTGGGTCAGTTTTTATCTCAACGACCGGCTATATGCTATTACTCCCGTTGTTCACTCTTTTTGTAGTTCAATCTCGTTTGTGGCATCTTACATGCCCCGCTTTATTCGCTCATTGTAGGGGCTGTCAATAGGGGGACAGAGCGGGCTAAGTAGGTGTATTGGCATTGCTTGCGCCGCAAAGCGGCATGAAATGCCAACATATACAACAACAACAGTTGTATCTTTCCCATAGTTAAATTGGCAGAACCATTCTTTTCTCTCCCCGAGTTTATCAAGAACAAGAGTCACTCAAACTTTACTGCTTCTTTATTCCATTCTTACATCTCATTTCCGGTACAAAAATGACATCCTTTGATATCAATACGACCGGCGATGATGTGCTCAAGCACTTCTCCAAGTACGCCAAGGGCAAAACATGTTTGTTATGCTCCTACGATCGTTTTACTCTCTTACAAAATCATCTAACGAACATAACTAGTTGTCATAACCGGTCCCAGTGAAAATGGCATTGGCGCCGAGTCTGCAATCACTCTCGCATCTGCAAAGCCCCAGAAAATCATTCTTGTCGGTCGAACTGAAAGTAAAGTCATTTCAGTGATTGAAGCTATCAGAAAGATCAACCCAGACATTGAAGTCTTCTTTGTTGAAATCGATCTTCTCAACAACAAGAGCGTTCGACAAGCAGCAGAGAAGATAAAGACCTTGACAGATAAGATTGATGTTCTTATTAACAATGCTGGTGTGATGGCTGTAAAATATTATGCTACATCTGTCGATGGAGTTGAAAGCCAATTTGCGGCTAATTATCTTGGTCATTTTCTTCTTACCAATCTGCTGGTTAAGGAAATAGTCGCTGCGGCTAATATGGGGGGGGGGGGGGGGGGCAAGGATAGTGCAGGTTGGTAGTTTGGGATATCAGCTTGGAGAAACTAATATTGAGGACATGAATTTTAAGGTTCGTTAACCACTGCAACTTCGTGTTTGCAGATACTTGTGCTTAATGTGTAAACTGACTTTATTTTGCTAGGATGGAGAAACATACAATCCCTGGGTTGCTTACGGACAAGCGAAAACTGCTATGGTACTGTTCAATCTCGCTCTTGACAAACGATTGAAGCAGAAAGGAGTTACGGCATTGATATGCCATCCTGGTGGTACGTCAATCACTACGCTGTGTTTGTGCCTTACTAACAAGTTGTCTAAGTAACACTGGAGAGCAAGTTATTGGTTAATTCAAGTGTAGACAATGACTCGTTTGCAGATGCATATGTTTTGGCGATTAAACGCAAATGATGGTAAGGGTTTTCGCACTTGTCAATTCACGCATACGTTGGCATCGCTAAATGTATATCAGGAAACCCTCTTCCCCCGCAAAACATGGTGACTTTGAAACAAGCAGCGGGAGTGGTTCTTTTCACGGCTTTGAACCCATCTCTGCCAGGTATGTAGATCCAGGTTCCCTATTCTGAAAGTGTACATCTACAGACCTTGAATTTCACAGAGGCTGCACCAGCATTCATCGTTGAAAATGAAATTTACACAGAGACGAAGGATTATGCTCTCAATAAGGAGACAGCCGAGGGCTTATGGAAGCTCAGTGAGAAGCTTGTGGGGGAGACATTTGTTTACTGAACTGGATCGCTGGATGATGAGATCTGAATGTTGAATCTGCTCGAAGGCCAGAAGAGTTGGTTTAGGATAGGTGAATTAGATTTACAGTTGAAATGAATCGACTAATGAGCTTGAGAATTCAGCACCTCGTTTTGTCTCATCTTAACTTTTTGAATGTTCATACTATGTGTCTGAATTTTGATATCTTTACGATCTTGACGGATTTATCGTTGGAAGATGGATCTCTCATCTCATTTCGGAGTCTAGAGGTATTTATTAATAAGTATCATCGGCAGTCTGCAAACTATTAGGTCAACATAATTTTTACATTCACTCTCCCATCCATCTTGAACAATGAGATATCTTGAATAATGAAACTATTTTAAACATTGAAACTATCTTCAATACTAACAACATCTGAGTAATGAAGCTATTCTAAACAACGAACTAGCTTGAACAACGATGTTATCTTAGACAATAAAGTTATTTGAATAATAAGATTTTCTAAATAATGGAACTAGGGTTAGGACTCTTTTGAACAATGAAACCATTTTGAAGAATAGAAATTCTTAAATGACAGAACTATTCTAAACAATAAAACTATCTCACCTAATAAATTTATCTTTGCATACCTAGGTAGTTATCTTTAAATCCAAAGTTGTTTCATTCTCATCTGATTCTGTACTAAAACATCGTAGTTCGCTTATCAAACTACGATGGTCTGATCTTTCCAGTTCAGCTAAAAGAGGCGTCTTCGATTGATCTTCCATTCATCTTATTCATACGCAGTAGAAACTTCTCTTTTTGTGTTTGTATTGAAAACACTAATTTTTTCATAAAATACTGGGGACTCATTAGAGCTATTCATTTTGATTTGACTGGTCTGAAGCTAACTTTTAAGGAAATTTATCACCCCCAGATAGCGAACCTCAAGTATGAGTGACGTTAACACCAAAACTAGAAAGCCAACTTGATAGAACTTGTCACGGGTTCAATACGTAAGCTATGTAGATGCCTTAGGCATCCGCCCTCCATATAGTCGCGCCTCTCCGCCTCCTTCTTCACTCCTTGTAGATATCATACATCTTACCTAGTACCCATCCCTTGCACCGTGATAGAAACTTGTGAAATACAGTCAGGACATCAACTTGTGAATCGACTTCTTTCTGGATTGAACTTATGCTATGCGAAACAATTGTGAGCTCTCCTACTACCTACGAGTTTGATAGAGGAAATTCAACCATGGGAGATTTTCATATATGAAAAATTGGTTTCTCTTCAAATTAAACAAAATTTTGCATGGAGACTCGAGATCTAATGACTTAAGTGCTATTGACAGCGTTCTTGTAGTCATAGTATATAATTGGTTATCCAAAATAGTACGACCATACTACAACATGATTGTAATGCTATGCGAGCATCCACGTCACTGAAGATCTAATCTCATAGTTTTAGGAAAGCTACCAGCGAAATTTTCCTATGACAGCTTCTCAACTTTCTTTCGAATCAGTAAAGAGTTGGAAAACAGTGAAGCTGAAGATCTTCTATCCTAGGTGGGTATCTGCAAACCTCGAGGACTACCACGAAGTCTCGCCTTTGTCTTGAAGAGATCACGATGAAAATACAAGGTGTTATTTGAGATTGGCTACACGCGCTGTCATCGCGTACGAAGTGCTAGGTAGGATCAATAACGTTATTAAAGAGCGATACCCAAGTGATCAAACAATTCTTTGGTTTGGAATGTAAAATAAGAGTAAGTAAGAGCCAAAGATTGTGGTTGTACGGTCGATTCTCAGTAGACTGCGTGGACCCTAACGTTAGAAAAGAGTGGCAAAAACTGGAAGTCTAGAGATACAAGTTTGATTGGGTATGCATTGCTGGCCATTGTTTTGTCAAGCAAGGAGATGTCATGTAACCTCACTGAGCATTTGATCAAACATAACCCTGTTGGAAGACAATATGCGTTCAATATATATTGAACCGCAAGGAATTATATATCTAAGATCAAGTCAAATGTACTAATACAGTAAGAACCTCTCTCGCTTTACCCCGCAAAACTCAATTACTCGCTACCAAAAATAGTTACGACACTTCGAATACTTGTAAATATCTAAAATTAATTGCAAAAAATCAATCTACAATGTTTCTGGAGCGGCAGAGGAATCGAACTCTGGACTTCATCGATGTATAGTCCCTCACAGGGGACAGGTAATGCAAACGAGGCACTCTACCACTGAGTTACGGCCCCTACTCTGATTGATGACGAGTCAAATTTTTCTAGGTATATAATCGCACGTGAAGATAAGCGAAGCACAGACCTCCAGTGGAGCCAGATTCCGCACATTCCGTACCGAAAATTAACCGGAACTGGCATCATTCAATATTATATCGATATGTCAGATTCCAATCTCATCTCAACAATAACCACATTGACGATATCATAATGATAATCAGGCATAGATTGCCCATTTACTCTGCCATCGCAGTACTTGGACTTTTGAGTGTTACGAATGCGAGTACTGGTGATCGATTGCCTGAATTTAAACAATGTGTTGAGGTATGAATGTCCTTGGAGCTTGCATTGGGTTTGTTTTACCTTTTATTAATACTAATAACATTTAGGTCTGTCAACGAGAGAATTGCGACAATGAAGTTGGAGGCGGTACGAAATTCGTATGTCAAATATCCTCCCTACAATTCCTACTCTTTTTTTGTACATTAAAATTAACCAAACGACACAGCACTCCACCATCGACTTCTCCTCTGGACTTGCCCAGCCGAATGTGATTATACCTGTCAACATATAATTACCGACTCGCGCGTTAAATCCTCACAACCTATTGTTCAATTCCATGGGAAATGGCCCTTCTATCGTTTCCTCGGCATGCAAGAGCCTTTCTCCGTTCTCTTTTCACTCTTCAACTTCATGGCGCATCACAACGGACTTGCAAGAGTAACGACTCAGATTCCCGAGGATTATAGTATGCGGAAGTACTATGTCATGCTATCATATGCGGGAATGATGAGTTGGGTGGCCAGTATGGTGTTTCATACAAGAGACTTTGCTTTCACGGAACAAATGGATTATTTCGCGGCAGGAGGAAGTGTTTTGTACGGCATGTACTATACTCCAATTCGAATCTTCCGTATGGATCGTGGTGGAAAACGCACAAAGTCTATATTACGTGCCTGGACTCTTCTATGCATACTCTGCTATATCGCACATGTTGTTTACCTGAAGTGGTGGGATTGGGATTATACATATAACATGGCCGCAAATGTTGTGGTCGGAGTAATACAAAATTCTCTATGGAGTTGGTTTTCGTTCGAAAAATACAGAAAGAGTAAGAGGGCATGGGCGACATGGCCAGGGTTAGTAGTTGCGTGGATTTTTATGGCAATGAGTTTGGAGTTGGTGGATTTCCCACCTTGGTTGGGATGTTTGGATGCACATAGTTTGTGGCATTTGGGGACGGTGGCTCCAACTATGATTTTCTATAGGTATGTTTCCCATGGTTTCTTGGTTGTGACTTGGTGCGGTCAGTGAGAAATGCTAATTTAGGAATAGTTTCTTGATCAAGGATGCTCAAGACGATATAGCTGGACAAAGATTAAAGGCTTAGACTATACATGAAGTGAGGTGGGTAATCATGAAATGGCTGGGAGGGGTTTGAGAAAGATGATTAATGTCAAAATAACAATACTGGAACATATCTGAGATCTTTTCCCTACAGACGCGGGAGCTAAGATGGCGCTAGAAGCAGAGGAATAGGCGTCGGTGAGTCGTCACCCGTGTGGCGGTGAGTTTATGGTAGTAACATCGCGAATCTTCAAATCTCCGTGCTGTTCTGCATGAAAGACATCCTGAATCATGCTAGCTTGTTCGCAAAGGGTAGCATAGACTTGGGTTCATTCGGATGCCAAAATGTGAATGTTCAGAGCGGTATTTCAAAAATGATCGCCTGAAGTTAGGTGGAACAATAGGGGTTCAACGTTGAAGATTGAGTTGAAGATCGAAACTCGATGTCTCAGGCTGAACGGCAAAACGGAATCTTAACGTTCAAGACTGGATGGAACAATGAAAGGTGAATAATCAAAATGCAATGGGCAGTTAGAGCCTTGATCCCTTGAGATCTGGTCCCCAACTTTCCGTCGCGCATCCAAAAACTAAATACATCCTCAATATCCATATCGAATTTGTGACTTCAAATACACAACAGAGATGTCTAGAAGGTCTTCTTTCGTCAGTGGCATCGAGTAGAGTTCAGACGGGATACGGAATTCAACTTTCCAGTGTGAGCCTGACAGAAAGCGGCGGGGCTAACAAGTAGAAAGCTTCATGTGAAGAGGTCAAGCCAGCTTCCTTCAATACAGTAGGAAGGATAATGTAATCGATACCTTTCCGTCCTTGGTTATGCAAGCAAAGTATCAAGATAACAAATAATCACAATTTCAATAATACTTCAAGTTCACGCATGTATTCATATAGTAAAGAGTATGTTGTAAATGGGTCTTCTATTTCAGCGAAGCACTATACAAACATCACATAGACGAGCAGACAAGGACAAACAGACAGACAGACAGAAAGTAAGAACCCTTTCTCCCCATCAATCCATCCATCCATGCCTATCCATCCATCCATCCATATCCAATCCTCTCTTCCCAAGAAGTCCACGCCGTTTCCTGCCTTCCAAGAAACGCCATCACATCCCCAACACCAAATTAAAGGAGAAAACAATGATTTTTCTTTGAGAAGAAAATACCTCTGCTGAGACTCAAAGAAAAGACTTTGCCAAAATGTATCCTGCTTTTGGGGGTATATCTTCCTTCCCTAACCCTTTCCTCCTTCCCCCATTCCATTCCATTTGTCCCCGCCTCTTCAAATCCACATTCCTTCTCCTGCCTCTCCCCTATATATCATGAACATTAACAAAAACGACACGATACCCATGTCCTCCAGAAATTATTAATTAAGTGAGTGGGATCGTGTCACCGACCAGGTGAGAACGATTGCAAATAGAAAATTCAAAAAGACAAAAAACGCGAAGGTACAAAATGAAACGCTGGGATGCCAACACCCGTGGGTGATTGTTGCTAATATACAATGCCAATTATTTTAAATCGAACCGGTCTACGATTAATGGGATATCAATGCTTCGTCGATGGAAGACAGGTGCCAAATGTGAAATAAATCAAAACGCCGAAACAATTACACTGCGGAATATTCTGGGAGCGCGGTTCTCATCCGTCAAACCTGAGGGCCCCACTGAAAAGATGGATTTTTCTCGACTCTTTATTTCTCCGAATAGTCAGCGGGAGTGACATTGGAAAATTGATATTGTTTCTGCTTCGTCGTCATTGTTGGAGAGCTGCCCACCAAGCCAATGTTCGAAAATTGTGTGAGTGCATCATGTGGAAAGGAGTACTCAGCAGATCCGCCATTCGACAATGTGTATAAAGGACTGGCGTTATTGTTGAACTGTGGAGAATCATGACCGTTGCCTAGGAGGAGACCTCCTTGGTTGTTAAAACTACCGAAAGCAGGTGTTACTGGTTGGCTGGCATACGAAGGTTGAGGAATTGATAATTCTGCAGCGAAATGATCGTGGCTGGGTGTGTAGAGAGGGTCATCCGGAATGTCGTAATTCCAATGCTGCTCAGTATTGTTGTGCTCAATATTATTTGGCCATCCGGATGTGTTTGTTTGTTGGAGTCCTAATGAGGCTTGTGGTGTCTCTGGAGGCGTTTGGTCAGTGGCCTGATTAGGGTCTATCAAAGTGGGAAGACCATCATGGCTGCTAGACAAATCGAACATGAAATTCAAATCATCTTCGTGAGATGATGAATTCTCCCTTTTCAGTGTCATCTGTCTCTCTCTAGGCGACATTGGAGTAGGTGGTGCCAAGCTACTCGTGAGAGATGAACCGGCTGTTTAAGCTAGGTTGGTTTGATCAGTGTGGTAATTTTGCTCCATGAAGGAACCAGCATTTTCGAATCCGTGTATGTTAATAGGCGACCTCTGCGCAGACTCTATTCCAGGCTTTTGAATACGACCAGTAAGAACATTTCCCCCCGCTGAGACAATCCTGCGCATAGGTGAAGGTAGAGGGCTGGCAACTTGGCGACGGAACCCATCTACATTTGATACAGTCCGTGGTCCCATTGGTGGCCTACTTCTCACTGTATCGGTTCCCAAGGCGGCTGGTTTGACCTGGACCTTCTTCCGCCTGGCGACTATATCTGTTGGAGGACGTGGAGACTTGAATGACCGCGAGGAGGGTGGGGGAGATGAAAATTGAAGTGTTGTTTCGTCGCTGGTGTCGTCTACAGATGGAAGTTTTGCTGGTCTGTATGTAACAACACCCGTGAAAGGTTGAGATGAAGCGGAAGCTGTAGAGAGCGACCTTGTAGTGCTTTCATCAGAGAATGTATTAAATGCTGTTGGCGTGTGACCAGATTCGCCAGTACCGAATGGCTCTAATTGCTCTGGTTCATCGAAGATATTTTGGTTGAATGTAGGCTGGAAACTGAAGGAATCGTCATAATTAAAGGCATTGGCAGTTGGGAACTGAGCACGATCAAGATCAGAAGTCTCTCCCATACCAAGCATATTTGCGAGCTGAAGAGTATCGTTGTTATGTACATTGAAGTTGCCTGAGAACTCGCCATTTTGATTGCCGGCTTGAGCAGAAGCCATGGCACGATGGAGAGACTCGAGACTCGCGGTGGTGGGATTTTGATATTGGGGATTATAAGGTGCCGTGGCTGGTGGAGGGCCGGATGTAGGAAATGACATCGAAGAAGATTGTTGTGGCACCATTGGATAATCGATATTGTAATTGCTTTGAGGAAAGTCCGGAGATGAAGGCGCGGAGACTGAGTATCCCAATGCTTCCCGCGCTTGACCAGCCTCATATGCTTCCGTTTTCTTCTCTTGCTTGCGTTTGGCTCGACGATTCTGGAACCAGTTCTACTACATATCAGTACCAAGACCTAAAAGCTGATTTGAGTTCCTGTCCTTACATTAATTCTTGACAACTCCACACCCATAGTATCAGCATAACCACGCTTAGTTTGAGTGGTTGGCTTTGGGTTCTTGTTGAATTCAAACTCCAAGATGTCAACTTCATCCTTTCCTAGACGAGGCTTTGTCTCGTTGGTTTTCTGTCCAGTAGCCATATTCATCATGTTGGGCTGATGTTGCGGTAAAGAATATTGGTATTGATGGTCGTTATAGACCCCGCCTGATGTCATTTGAGAAATTAATTGGTCATGATTATTAGGGTGATGCGAAAAGTGCTGGAAGGTGGGTTGAACGTAGTCCATTTTTAAGTTGGGTGTTGGTTCAAAAGCTAAACCCCCACAGCGTAGTTTTGTGGAAAATAGAACAGGAATCACAAGTTGAATCGAAAGGCAAATGCGAAAATGATATCGGAATCAAATAATGTTGACGATAGGCCGAAACTCATGTATATATTACCCGTACGATTTGGATATGTCGTTCAACGATCTCTTGAGTAAGTATATATGTTGTATATGTATGATGCGGTGGGATAGATAAGAAACGACTGTAAGCCACTTCTACAGACAAATGAATGGAATCTGAATACGAAGTGATTCAAACGGCGATAAAATTAGTATATGTTGGAAGATGGAAATTGTCGAAAATAATTGAAGGAGTATCGCAACCGCTCGTTTCGATATCGGTTTCAGTGATTGAATGATGAGGGCGCGTATATATTATAGGTGTGTGGTAGAATGGATCGTAAGTTTACTACTTGCGGGCAGGCGAGGAATCCGGAATTTCGATATCGTGAATCAAGAAAGTTGATGCAAGGAACGAAAGTGGTCAGTCGTCTGTAATTATGGTAAGGTCAGTCAACCGGAACGAAGGAGAAGGAAAAATGTTGTTCGAAATGAAAAAAGATTGGAGAAGTTGGTGTGTGAAGGGAAGGGGGAAGAACTAACGGGGTGGTTAATTGTGACTAAGGCGACTTTAGCAGTAGGTTGGCTGCAGATCGGATCTGTGGCTGTATTTGACTGGTACCTGAGCGTTCATGCCAAAAATTAATCGAACCTCTTTCTCTTTTATCCTCTAACGCAGCGGATAAGATGATATTATACAATTGCGGAAAAGACAATGAATATATATATATATATATATATATATCACAATGCAGACACGCAAGTGGAGTTTAATGGACGAGTGATTGTAAGTGTCAGAGTGAGGGGCGGGAAGGGTGGAAGAAGGAGCAGCTCGCGCAATTCAAGGAAGGAAAGAGAGGTGTGGTAGTCGTTGATCTGAAGTAGGTGGTAGTAAAAGTAAGATATGGATTGAAGGGTGGGTATGGATATGGATGTGTAGGTAGGTAGGTGCTTTAGGTTGCTAGTGTACTACTACTATAGCTCAGATGTATGGATTGTAAATAAATTGTGGATTTCCTGGTGTGGTGTGAGTGGGTATAGGATGTGTTGCTCACCACTTCGAGCTCACTGGGTACTGCTCGTCTTTTTGGTGGTTGTTCGGTGGTGTATCTGTATGTACATACGGGGGGGTTTGTCTTGATGAGCGATCTATAATCTTGTTGGTACAGGAAGCTTACAAGCCTACAAGCCTACAAAAAGCCTGTGCTTTTTTCCTAAGAAAAACAACAGGGGCACAATTGTAATCCCTCGCTGTTTTTGCAACACTTTGTTAACCTTGACCCGGAACTCCTTGACTTGACCTACATGACCACAATCACTGGTGTGGCTTGGCAAGGGTTTACTCCCCGGGACATTCTCTCCTACCTTCTTTTTTATCTCTTGCGATATCTACTTGGAATTCCTTGGGGGCCTGAGATTCAGCGCGTGGGATTGACCCCTTCATCGCCTCGGTTAATGATTTGCCTATGTAGGATAAGGGCAATCTCCATACGGAATATATTTGGTTTCTATTTTACTTTACTCTACTTTACTTTGCATCTTGACTTCCTTGCTAATTCTACTATTTGACCCTCACTTTACCCTGAATCAACCTCATTCATATTGATTCATTCCTTGGATCATGAGAATGATTCCGAATAAATGATCATTGCGATGATGGTGGGCTCACTTTGAAGTTTCGTATTTACTTCACATATCAAACCTCCTACCTCCGCCATTTCTATAGGTATGAGATTGATTGTTTGACTGCAAAAACAAATCTATTCCATACTTATCCACAGTAGTTTTGTCCCTTTCCAAAGTTTCCATAGCTTATCCATGTCATTCGGATACCCTCAACTGCACCGTGCGTGGAAAACAACATCTGATATGATCCATAGAGAGACCGAGAGCGAAAGAGAGCACTGTATTCGAGGCGAAACAAACACCTTTAATGATATCAACTGCGCCCTGATACAAAGTGGGTTGATTCCTAAGTAAACGAGTGTACTGTATTCCGGAGAGATTCAGAATTTAGGCTTCGGCAGTGGACTTTTACAAGTAACGTCGATTTCCAACTCGGAAGTGGTTGAGTTTATCAGTCATAGAATTAACCCTACCCTACTATCCATTTATGAGGGTCTCCGTACCATTCTCAACTTTGTGAGATATCGTCGTAAGCATTTATTACTTGGATATTATTATTTTGATTTTTGACCAGAATTGTTGTTCCTTTTGTTCTGCGATCTCTTCCTTAGTGGCTAAGTCCACTCGCTTCTTTTACTTCGCACCTGCAGAAAGCCGGGCGGATCACACCAACTCAGGTACGAGCAAGGTTCCTAGCTCTAGAAGCACTTAAGCACCTACCTTACTAGTCCTTCATGATCCTCAACTAGGCCATCGTAAGTAATCATTCGCACAGCAAGCAAAGCTTACCCACCCTCTTTTAGTATCCATGTTCTGGGTAACAGTGCGACGCAATCGAGATACGTTCTAATTTCTCAGGATACAGCTTTTCGCACCTAGAAGAAGCAATTCAGATGACCTTTTTCGCCCAATCTCGACCAAATGGGGGTTTAAAGAAACAGATCATACCTTTCGCCACTTTCAAAGTTGTCAGTCAATTTCCTACTCGAGCTTTTAACCTGGACCAACAGGCTCGAAATAGCTTGACCCAGCATCTCGGAGAGTAGGCCGAGTTCCTAGAGCCGAATTCAAGTGCTTAGGAGAATAAGGATGTGTGAAGCCTTGAGAAGAGAGGTACCCTTGATGATTGGTGGTCATTATCAGATGAGGGTTTCCTAGAAGTACTAAAAGTCCAACTCAATTTTATTTCCCCATTTCTTCCCCACGTACAGTTACGATAATGACCAGAAGATCAATCCTTTTCTCTGGTAAAGAGATGAGATGGGATGGAAATCTGATCGTGATAAATTGGCGAATATGATATCATGCCGTCAAGTATTGTGCTGATCACCCGTCAGCTATCGTATTCGTTCATCCAATCTTCCTATCCAAGATCCCCAGAAATTGGTGCCAGCTTACCACTGCCAAAGGTGCTTCCGTAGCTAATAGACGGTTCCTGAGCCTAACACATGAAAAATAAAAGCAGCATGAAACTTGCTGTTTTGCACTGCCATCACGGAGCAGTCATAACTACCCTTGAAGATAGCATAAAAAGTTACAAGGTTGTACAGCGAGAGCTATTTTCGGTCCCCACTATGCATATGCAAGCCAACAGACAAAAAGGTCTACCACACTGCTGAAATGTGCAGGCTCACAGGATAACTTGGAGAATTTGTGCTGTCTGAGCGTAGCATTCTGAGAATGTTATTTTCACCTGAGAGAAAAAAAGGTTTGTTAACGTATCATAGTTCAAATCCTGGCTGAAATATGTTGTTGAAAGGCGATTTGTCAGGACAACTAGTATGTGCAGTAGTCTACCTGTAAGCTTTTAACAACTGAACATGAAAGCCGTTTTATCAATTCCAATTCGTACGGGGAAGAGCGATACTCAGCGAACCACCACATTCAACCCAACCCCCTCCTTCGCGGGACAGAAGCACGAACAATCAAAACATTTTTCTATAACCCGAGCCCGGAGAAGATGACAAAAAACACGAAGATATTTTCCTTTGCATCTCCCTGATAAGACACGACCAATGGGACGTATTCCCAGAAAACTCTCCCTAATCACGCAAATCACGAACTTAACTTGGATAATTCTACCCTTAATAAGATGTGCAATTAAGAATCTTACGCTTTCGCTTCGCCGCATTTTCAACGGGAACTATTCTGAACATCCTCGAATGCCACGAGAGTCCAGCGCCAGCACCAGAGTCAGGGTGGTAGGGTGCCCACAGGAGCTCTAGAAAGGTCCTGTACCTCTTCCTTTAAGGGGGCTACAGACTACAGTATTCCAGCCTCTTTGATTTCCAGGTGATCGTCATGTGGCTTTCTATGTGGGAGAAGCCGAAATTAGGATATACGTCTGCACTTACTTCATCGTTTTCATGATAAAAAAAAAGAATGCAAGATATACAAAAGAATTAAAACAAACTATAGTATAAATAACATAATACGTCAGAACAATACATGCGTCTTTGAAAATTCGATTGGAGGTATCGCACTTTTCCCAGGAATTTGCAATTCAGCTGGACCCCAAAAGTCGCGTAGAAAAGCCGGATTGGGAAATGGGGTAGCAAAAGTTCATTATCATGATCGTAACGTGGAGGAGATATACCTTTGACCTTTGTTACCACACTGAATTCCTTAGCGTTAATACTGTACGCTGTCTTTCTGTGATGGGCGCTTCTAGTCTTTCTTTCTTAGTATCGCTTTCGCTTTGCTTTTTCTACGTTGCGACCGACATTTAGACGATAGAATCGGCGTATTAGTATGCCATCAACCTTCGGACAATTTCAAGTAAGCATAACGCTTTCCCTTCGCATTGCAGTGCAGAGGCGGGTACGGAACAGTACTTGTCTTTCAAAATAACAGTTGGTTGGTGTCTGAGTCTGACTTGGGATATCAACGTTGCTGCCGCACGTAGGCTTGTTCTTTAATCTCCTTTCTTGCTCATTACTCGCTGGCTCTTTTCATCACGGTTCACACACAATCATTTTTTTCGACTGTCGGACTGGTTCGGAGTTGGCCTCGTGCTGGCGCGCGCGATGGAATTTTTATGCAAGTAGGTGCGAAGAGGAAAATAATGTACAAGGGGGATTCATACGGTCGTGTCCCTGAATAAGGAATAGTGAAGTCCCCAAGAGGGGGAAGCGAGTTTGCGAGGAGTTGTAACTTGTGACATCCGTTGCTCTGATGAGTTTAATTGGTGTATGTACGACTGGGGTGTATAGAAGTAGAACTTCGGTCCGCTGTCTGATCCGTAGTTGCCGTGATCTCTATGTTTGGTATTCCGT